GACGGGGATTCGAACCCGCGACCCTCAGGTTGCGAGTCGAGCGCCGTAACCACCTGGCCATGCCGGGCCTTTGATAGTTCTGTAACCAATGAGTTTCAGCTAGATAAAAGTTTCTAAATGTCTAATTCAGGTTCTGTTAGGTACCTAATGTGGTGAAAGTAGATCGATTAGTGCTGTTAATTTTGGGCCATGTTTTGTAACCCTCTTTTTGTTTTTGTGTGTGTTTATTAGGGTCTTTGCCACCAAGTCCAGCGGATAGTGGAGTTTCCGACGTAGACAGCAGTAGTGGTCATCTAAGCACAGAAGAGTATAAGACTAAATTACAGTCTGCATCAGGTATTTGGAATATTTATCCATAAATCGTCTTAGAAAATGAATCAATATAAATTATTTATTTTAAACATTTTATGGAAAGGCTAATAAACCTGCCCCCATGGTTTGTAAGTTCGAATTTTATAGTTTCTTTTTTTTTTACAAAGATATAACAACATACATGAACCGACTTAATGGCAGGGTCAAGTGCATTACCTTGAATTTACGTACACTTTCCCTCTAGCCCTCTACCCCAGGCGGCTCAACGGTAAGTCTGAGGGCTTATAACGTTAAAAATCGGTTTTTGATATCTTCGTTTGGCAGAACAGAGATAGCCCATTGTGTAGCTTTGCGCTTAACAAGAGACAAATGTTCCTCTGAAATCGCACGTTTTACAAAAATTTAAGTTATTGAAAAATAATTGTTCAGTTACTTGGGGCTTATTTCTACTCTTAAATACTTTTCTAGAGAGCTTTCACCTTATTTCCTGTTCTGTCAATGTACTTAACCTTTCTACTTCCTAATCTGAGGTTCTGTTGTTCGTTTCCTGTTAATGCCAAAAAATCGTGTTCTGAATTTTGGAGATGTGGGTGCATTGTAAGAGTGACAGTTAACCTCACCATTCGGTCTGAGAAGAATACTCCAAGTCCAAGAGTTAGCAGTGGGTGTTGTTGGCTAGCTGCCTTCCCTTTGCTTATCATTTCAAAATCAGATACAGCTAACGCAGGTAGCCCACGAATAACTTGCATGAAATTCAACAAAGAAAACCTAATTTGAACCAGACGTCATTATTTTAAGATTTTCATACTTTAGTATTTTGCTTAATATTCTAATATCACGTTTTTAGTTTGTTGGTTTTTAAGTGTGCAAGATTCCCATGTTCCTGTCCCTAAGCAACAAAAGCTTATAAAGAAGCTCATCAGTGTAATGTATAACTTTTCAATAATAAAACAACAGTCAACGTCAGAATCTAAGTATATACAAATAGTATGGCTAGTGTAGTTTTACTTTATTTACTGTAAAGCAATTTTACTTCGTTAAAATAACTAAAGTAAAAAAATAAAACGTTCAAGTACATGGATTTATAAATAAAGTTAATGGAGAATCATATTTACTGTAGATCTGCATGCATGGAATATTATTTCTGATATTATGAAGTCATGAAGGATTCGGTATGTCGTTCACGTAAACTTATCTAGCCTTAGCGCTCCGATTTCGTTAGAATATAAACCCGAGTTGTCTGTTGTAAAACAAGGATTTTTTTTTTCTCTTTGGGTCACTTTTCCTCAACCACCTTGGTACCTGTAACAAAAAAATCATAAAGCAAGTTTACTTCTGAATCATCTTATTCATTGGTAAATCTTCTCTAAGCTGACCGAACCTTGTGAGATAGTATTAGGTTTACGGACGAACATGTTGTCAATAGCGAGAATATCCAACTTTTGAAACAACGCATTCTAATCTCTATAAGTACACTTAATTATCTAATACTCATTACCGGGGGGATTTTTATTTTTGTTCTAAAGAGATAGCTTGTTCTGTTCGGAAGTTAGTATTGATAACAGCATATTTTTCTAGCAAAGACTCGTATAAACACGTTAAAAACAAAAAGAAATAGAGGGGAGATTTTGTGGCGTATTAAACGTATGAAATGTTATTTTTCAACACCGATTCCACTTTGGTGTTATTAAAATCTGAAATCTGTTCTCATTTATTTATTTGTAACCTTTATATTTTCTTTAATTCGTACGTTGTGATATCATTTCTTTAAATATAACTATTCTTGTCTAATACAGTCTTTTCGAAAAAAAACAGAATCGCCTTTACCAGGAAACATACACTACTATCGTTCTGTCCCCCATGTGGCTCCGCAGCCTTACTTTTCTTTATTCAAGTATCCCAATTCAAATTGTAAGTAATATATATATTCACTGTTTTACGTTCTTTGTGGTTGAGTACTTAGTTTATTTTTAGATAACGTGATATGATTAAATTTAATTCATATGTAGGTATATAACTTTACAGTAGAATGAAGGATCGCAAAATATCGGTTTCTTTAAGAGTATACAAAAAATGCACTTGATTTGTGCAGTACATACCAGATATGATAAAAAAATCAAAATACATAAACAGGCATTTGAACCCCCCTCTTTTTTTTTTTTTTTGTTCTACTGTGCGTTTTATCGACGTTATTGAATTAGGCCAAAATGATATGTAAATGTATATATAGGTCTAATGGTTATGGTCAATATAGTCTGTGCCACTTACGTTTTATTATTGTATCACATGACCTCATTATAAAGTGGGAAGTTATCTTTTGTCACGTATAAAAACTACTTTTTGTTATTTTTCCACTTACAAAGTGCTTCCCGTTTAAGTTTGTTTGTACATTTAGGATAGAGAGAAGCTAATAACTTTTATACATGTTTATAGAAGTACAGTCCTGTTTAGTTTCGGAGATGTTTCTGCACTGGGGCCACCAAAAAAACATATTTAAATTAAAGAAAATATGTATATATTTACAATGTAATGCTTAAATATATTTTACAAAATACAAACATTTATTCAAAATGTGTTGTTGTTGTGTTTTCGAAAAAATATCATTGTCATTTTACCGTGCTCGTAATTAATTTATTAGTCAATGGTGATTCTAGTATAATACATTGCCGTTAGGGGGCCTACTAGAAGACTTGTTTTAGTTGGAAAACAGGCCAGGGTCATATGTTTGTTTACGCCCAGTTGTGGTATCACATAGCACATTCTCATTTAACGTTTATAGGTTATCGTGTTAGTAATATTTCGCTTGTTACACATTGTAGGTCATGTTCTATTTTTGCTCCGGTATTTCCTTTTCCTTTAGCTTTCGTTGAAAGTTGTGGCCTATATTTTAACACAAGGAGTAACGTGTGAATTCTGCAAAATATAAGTTTAGCTTGTTCTATTTCAAAGATACACCAACAACCTAAGATACTCCCGAGAACAAATCACATCTGTTTATTTCTGTAAAAATGTAATTTTGACACTGCACCATCCTTAACTCTGGGGAAAAAATTCACTATTTTAATGTGTGTGCATTGTATAAGTGGGCTAACATATTTGCAGTGATGCACCTTCTGTTATTTTTGTGGTGCAATATATTGTTAATTGTTTGTTTGTTTGTTTGTTTTTAATTATGCACAAAGCTACACAAGGGCTATCTGTGCTCTGCCCACCACGGGTATCGAAACCCGGTTTCTAGCGTTGTAAGTCCGCAGACATACCGCTGTGCCACTGGGGGGCATATATTGTTAAAACATGCACTCAAAAAATCAAATCTAATATTTACTACAAATTTAATGCTGTTTCACAGTAATTTTATCAATGTATAAAACTGTTCTTAAATTCTATATTTTGTTTCATGTTCGGACTTTACATGAGAATAAAACAAGACCTTCCAGTAGTTGAACAGCACATTTTTAAAAAAAAAGTGGCAGCGAAACCGTTAAACGAATGACTTTTGAACTCGATAGGAGAGATTATCGTATTCAGATATCACAATTTAAAAGCTATATGGCTCTTGTGGCTAGGAATTCTTAATTTTTTTTATCCTACTCATTTAATGATTGGGTTGTTTAAACTCCGTAAGAGACCAGCAGTAAGTATCATATTTACAGTGAAGGATTAATGTGTTTGTTTGTTTTGAATTTCGCGCAAAGCTACACGAGGGTTATCTGCGCTAGCCGTCCCTAATTTAGCAGTGTAAAACTAGATGGAAGGCAGCTAGTCATCACCACCCACCGCCAACTCTTGGGCAACTCTTTTTCCAACGAATAGTGGGATTGACGGTCATATTATAACGCCCCCACGGCTGAAAGAGCGAGCATGTTCGGTGTGACGGGGATTCAAACCCACGACCCACAGATTGCGAGACGAGCGCCCTATCCACCTGGCCGGATTAGTGTGAATCAAAAATTTTCATATAAACATAATTAAACACTATAACCATTAATTTTGGATGTTTCTCGTGTGAAAATTGTTTATATGGAGACAACATAATCTAGTTAATAGAGGAAGACTGTACCTATCCATTGCCTTGTTGTCAGAATTAAACGATATTGCAAAATGGGAAATACATGCAAATTATTTTGAAAAGTCATTTTTAAACAAATAGTTTTGTCATTGCAACAAATCTGTAGTATTGCTCCCTTCTGTTTAAAGATCGTCGTTGGCCTCGGAATAATTTAACGTAAAATATATATGTTTATAACTACAATCTTTATTTACTTATTCTTTGGCAGTAGATTGTGAGGGGGTGAGGTTGTTTCAATAGAGACGCCTTTCATTAATAATTTTAAAACGTTTGCTTTATAAACTAATGACATACATGGTTATGATTAGTATTACTTATCAGTTTAATTGTATAATACAGCCTTTCCTCACACTTAAAATATGGAATGTAGGGAAAAAAGTCATAATTTGAAAAGTTTGTTTGAAGTTAAGCACAAAGCTACACAATGGGCTATCTGTGCTATGCCCACCACGGGTATCGAAACCCGGTTCTTAGCGTTGTAAGTCCGCAGACATACCGCTGTGCCACTTGGATTATGAAAGGTTATCTGAGGACATGAAAAGTTGCTTCCCTTATATGTAACTGTAAAAAACGCCCATAAAAACTGCAGAACACTAAATGTGAAACCGCATACATTTGGTGAAGATCCATTAGCAGGTGCAAAGTAGTGGTGCAAAAAAAGCGAAAACGCAAAAACGCCCACAAAAATTTTTATTTGTTGTTTGTTTGTTTTTAATTATGCACAAAGCTAAACAAGGGCCATCTGTGCTCTGCCCACCACGGGTATCGAAAACCGGTTTCTAGCGTTGTAAGTCCACAGACATACCACTGTGCCACTGGGGGGGGGGGGGGGTTTGTATGTATCTCTCCATGAACTCATTGAACCTCAATACCAAACTTGGAGAAGATCCATCTACAGGGGGCGAAGTTAAAACGAAAAAACAAAAATGCCCATAAAAATCGCAAAACCCAAAACTAAAATTTTTTATGTACCCCCGCATGGACCTAATTAACGTCCATACCAATTTTGTTGAAGGTCTATCCAAACCCTGCGAAGTAGTTACATGGACATACAACAGATAGTACTTATGCATGTGATGATGAACCTCATGTATGCCTGAAAAGTGCAATGTTACATATCATCCATCATGGTATTATTGCAACAACTAACTAACTTAAAAATAATTTTGTGGTGTTACTTTACATTGTATTTAGGTGTAAAAAAATTTGTGACTTTTTTCCTGTGTCTTTTCTTTCTTAGCTAAAATTGTGACTTTTTCCTGTGTTTTTATTTCCGGCCACCAAAATATGTGCGTCTTCTGTTTTGCAGTAGAAACAGTTATTTAATTAGAATTTAAATATACACGAAGAAAAACAAGTTTGAGAAGGATAAGCTTTGCCCCTGTCAAGATAGACTTGATTGACTTTTGTCTTTTAAACGTCACACTGGAATAAGGCTGAGAAGGGGAGATACACTTTACCCTTATTAATATAGATTTGAACTAATCAGGACACACCGTAGTGTGTCTTGCGGCAAAAAAAGGAGAAGAGTGATAGTTTAGCGATTTTCCACCTTCTGTAGCTTGGACTGTGGTAATCCAAACTATCACTTATTTTCAGTGGATGTGCTTTACTGGACAATCCTTTCAAGGCAATCCATTAAGAAATACTTACATCTCCAATTTTGATTGGGTTTTTCTTTTTTTATATCCACCAAAACTACGGAAACTATATTTGATAGACAATAATACTTACCTTTTATGGATTTTTTTTCAAATCTGGTACACTGATAGATCTTTAAAACCTACAATTAGGAATCTCATTTGGTGTAAACAGAAAAACCGCTGAAATTTAACGAAACTTTTTCGCACGCCTAGCAAAAAAGTCACATGAGCTATCGGTTTAACATTTTTACGACAGCTTCATCTAAGAGTAAAAGTAGATAGTTTTTAGTTTTTTGTCATTCGGATTAAAGACAGCTGATTTAGAGCAGTAAATCTATAAGGTAAAAGGACGCGCTGATACATAAGTATTGATTAGGCTAAGAAAACTACATTGGCAGTTTCTAGCTCAAGTTTTCAACAGAATCATACGGGTGGACGCTTATTATTGATTATTCATTGTCAACTTTTCAATACAAATTAACTAAGTTTTATGAAATTCTCCTAATTAAAGAGCGTTTAGCGTCACGTGATATTAGCTTAAGCAATCAGCACAAATATTGATGCTTGATATGGCTGTACCGAGTGCATGGGGGTGATGACAAGAAACTGTTAATCTATATTCCATGGCGCTACTATAAAATATATTACATCGCACGAGTTAACGCTTTTAACACATATCGCCAAGAGTTGGTTTTCTTTGTTTCAGATTTTTCACGCAGAGATACACAAAGGGCTATCTGCACAAAAGCGTCCCTAATTTTAAACTGATAGACTAGGGGTTAGATAACTAATCAACAGCACCCAGAACAATCTCTGGGGTACTCTCGTCTGACCGAAAAGTGGGATTTTACTGTCATTATTACAGCTCACCCACGAGCCAAACGTGCTAAGCGCGTTCTGTAGCAACGGACCATGAACCCACGAATTCACAGTTCGATCACGCTAACCACTAGGCCACGCCCGCAAACAGAAGTGACGCATAGGGCGGTACTAAACTTAGTAGCCTGTTAAAAATAAAAAGCGTGTAACCACTCTTATATAAAATCTTCAGTACTTTTAATGGTTGTAAAATTGGATGAAAAAATATTTATAACTGTATAAAGAAAAAACGAAACGGCGAATTATCACAAACGGTCGTGAAATATGAAAACTATCATTAAAAATAATTCTTAATTTCAAGTGCTATGTTGACGTAAATG